CACATGACTACCCGTGCTTCCTCTACACCGACCGAGCGCGACGTTTCCTTACTGACGGGACGATTCTATCTCGTTCAGTCCCACCTGTGCCGTAACTTCGGAATCGCGTTCGAGATCAGCCCACGGGCTTAAGGGCTGAAGGCGTGAATTACACTCGAGATGTGTCCCGTGTCGCTGAGTCGTACGACATAACCTCTGTGACAGGAGCGGAACGAATTGCCTCGGGAAGGTGCGATGGATCTGACACGAGAAAGATGCGAAGTTCAGGAAAGCAGCACCCGCCTTTTCCGACCTCGAGAGGAAATACGTGTCTGTCGGCCCCCATCTTATCTAGAGGCGGAGAGTAGTCGAACGTTAAAATAAACATTTTGTAAGAAGCAAACCTCCGTCAAATTCAGGGAAGGTCGATCACTTGATGAGCTATTTGCTGCCCCTACGATTGTCTGGCATTTGTAAAACGATCCACTCACGCCACTTGGTTCTGCGCCTCCTCACTTCTGATTTCTTCGTTTTCTTCCCTCCGAGCGGCCGGCGTAGGGATGGAATTGTGTGTGTGTTCCATGATCCGTTTCGCGTGTTAACTACGGAACACGTCAAACAGACAAAAACGAGTGTGCAAACGACTGAATCAGTGACCAATTGCGAGAGTATCATATTTTACAATTGGTCCGCTCGCTTCTCCTTCCGCCGGAGACGCGCGAGCAGAAAGGTACGAGTGAAACGTTCCGTTTTCGTAACGCCGTCGAAGAGATGATTCGGTAAACGAGGAATGAAATATCGACGAATTTCTTCAGTAGTTGTTCCGTTTGAAACAGAAGTAGACAGGAAACAGACGCTTGGTTCCACGTTCCACCCCGGCTTTGAAGTGTTGAGAAAAATGGAAACAGCGAAGATTATTGAGTTTCATAGATTTTGTTGTTTCGAAGATCGCGCCTGGCACCACGTCTTCTTGACACCAGACGCATAGAGAATGCGGCATCGGCTATCCTGACGGCGGAAAAAAAACTCTCGGGGACGCCAGGCAGAGCGCGCATAAAAACGGAGAGTGGATGAGCTCCCCCGAAATCCGCTGCTTCCCGAAAACTCTCCAAACAGCTAATTATTGCGATGATGCAAGGGGCCTCCTGCTTTCAGAAGCAGTTTGATGATCACTGAGCTCCATCACAGCGAACAGATCGACTTTGCACCGTAGAAGTGCGAAAATACATAATTCATACGGTGACGCGGAACGGGTAAATGTTGATGAGGATTGCGGTCGAGGGAATCGTTGCACCGGCCCCCGATTCCCTTCAACCAAGAATTCTCCCCAGCTTCAGAAATGGCTCGAATTGCGAGAGAGATTTAGGATGTACCAACTTTTTCTCGGGAGAATCCTTTTTCGAAAATGAAACAAAACAAAACATCTCCGACGGTAACGGCTAGTGAACCATATCCCCAAGAAAGAAGTGCTCAAGACTTCATTCTCTTGTCCGAATTTCACGCTGTGATCACGCCTCGCGCTGTCGTCTTTAAAACCTGAGCCGCCCCATGTCGAGCCAGACCTCCCCCGCGCAGCAGCCGGCTGGCAGATAATTACGCTTGAATTGTTGCAGGGCTTCCGAATTTTTCCATCGATTCCCCCGTAAGCGCCTGGCTTCCACGTGAACGTTTGAGACACGACAGATTGGGCATTATTGCCTCTGCGGAAGCCGGACTCGTTACACAACGATTATGTCCTCATGAATATCCGTGAGATAGTTTCTCCCGATTTCGGCTTCACGAACTGGTAAGGAGAATGGTTCACGTCATCGACATCAGAGAGAGAAGCTCTTGTCGGAGCCTCTAGTGGGGCACCTCGGACACTGATGCCGTGTTTCCTGACTCTCTTCTGGAACAAGCAACATCCATTGATGGGGAGTTTTGCGAATCGTCCACAAGCATTCGTGACCCTGTGGAGCAAGATGACCAGCTTGAATCGGGGGCTGAGCACCTCCGGGGAAGGCTCAGGTTTTGATAGCATAATTGTTCGGGAAAGAACATGCCGACGAGCCCGGGATGACAATCCCGTGGACGATGCCCGGCGAGGAAATCGCTCTTGTGTAAACATTCCACGTTCTGAAGTCCGAGCAGTCACGTGTCCCACCGCATACCAGTCACCGGCAGCAAGCGAGCAGGCGGGTGGCGGCTGACCAACAACGCGAGCGACGGGGTAGACATTGCGGTGGAGTTGAAGCGCCGCTCAACAATGCCGCTTCCACTCTCGGTCGAGCGAAGATTTATCGTTGCTCTAAACACCTCGACACGTTCCGCGAGGACCGCCGGAAGCACAGGAATCCTAGTTGGCGAACGTTGAGAAGGATCAAACGAAGTTGTAACCGATCTCGCGCCTCACCGCTTTGAGAGTTTGGCTCGGGTGTTCGCCGAACGAAGAGGTCAAGGCCGATTCCAGGATCCTCGGGACCCTTCTTCCATTATTCTCGAATATCGTGGGGTATTTGGTGGTTATGGCCCGAACAGCACAGGCTCCATCGCTCCTTGCGAATTCCTATCGACAATGAACCCCTTTCCAGTCAGGACGAGTGACACATCTTGAGATCCCATCAAGCTTCCCGAGACGCTCATCGCAGGATATTAGTTTGGCCGACTATCTCGTGTAGTTCATCGTGCGGGTGGGAGCGCTCATGGCTCCCGGTGAAGTCTCGGGAGAGTTTTTCCCCAAGCCAATTTGCCACATCGATAGCTCCGCGAAATCGTGTGTACGAACGGGAGATCCCCGACAATGCAGGTGTCTGACTCATTGCTTTGCCACGAGTGCAGGATTGTTGCTCGGCCGACCCAATGAAAACATTCTCCGCTGTCTCCGTTGACAATCTGAACTTTTCCTCGTCTTTGTTGTTTTCAGGACACAGTTTCGCACCTCCAGTTCCTTTGAAAATTGCGGAAAGAGAGCATCCGAGAGCAGAAACAGAGAAAAGTGATTCCCGTAAGCAGTGACGGATTTACCCAGTAGGCTTAGTAGGCTACAGACTGGGGCGGCAGTTATAAGGGGGCGGCGGAATTCTGGTTGGAGGTTCTGTGATCCTCGACAACTCACTCAGTGAAATCATTCCAGACCGGGACGAGGACGTCAACCCTGTCAATGAGCTTGAAGCTGCCAGATTAACGGCGGGGAGTCGTCTCAAAACGAACAGCGAGTCATAATTTCTTGGGTGATCCCTGAGAGCATACCCGATCAACCATTTTGAAAAGGAACTCTTATTTTTCCTCTTCTGGGGTCGAATGAATAAGTGGAGACAATTTCCAAGTCTACGGATCCTTAGGCTTTTTGTGGGATAGAAAAGAAATCTCAAAAACTTGGTGCAAGCGCCGAGAAGAATCGGGATTCATTCCCAGATGAGTAGTATCAGGGCGGCGATTCTGATTAAGCCTGGAGGCGGCAGATTCGTGAATCCGCCGCTGCCCGTAAGTCAAGCGAAAAGAGACGTCGGATGAGAGGTCTTTCGGGGGCTCCCTGAGATCATGACACGCATCGTTCCGTGAAAATACGTCTTCCGCTGAAAGGATCTTTTGAACCGCTGGACGCCCATTCAGCAGAGTTCGATTCCCGAGAGGCACCCTCGCTATAAGAAGAGTGCTCCAGAGGAATCGCAAAACATGCAGCCATAATAAGGAATTAATGAACATATCGGGCGGTATTTCTGGCTGAAGGGAGTATTTCATTCGCAACGAGCAATCGTCTGGGGGAAAAGAGGCAACCCCAGGAATCACGCTGTCACGAACATCGAGGTCTCTCCAGGCTCTGGAGCACCCATGACTCAGAAGGGTGTAGGTTCCCAGAATAGCCAGAGCCCATCCTGGCTGGAACCTCGACAACGAACGAATCGTGCGGTGAGATGCACCACGGAAAACTCTAAGAGCATTGCAGTAAGTAGCATCCCAACCATCTGGCAGCTACTCTAGCACCCATTTCGGCGCAAAGGTAGTAATGTTTAAGGAGGGTCATCCCGCTAAAATCTGCATCCTCCATCTTGGCCCGCACACTCATTTGGAACCAGGGGCTTCAAACGGCTCCTTACAGTAAATGGATATATCTTCCGCATCTTTCAGGAGGAAAACAAGTCGCTCTGCTTCAAGTTGGGAAGCGGTCACTGAATGTGTTTCCGCGGGAACTGAAGGTTTCGTAAACGAACCGGCTCCATATCCGAACACGTGCCGGTGGAAGATGCAAACGGGGGACTCCCAATCCACCGGGAGCCGCCGTTCGAGACTGAGATCTAAAAAACTTACTTGAGGGGCCGAGCTGACGTCGAATATGCGCTCTGGAGTGTTCACTCACAACTCCGGGGTTGCTCAGCTTGGTGGGGTGAACTCGGGGTTCGTCTGCTGCGACCCCACATCGCCCTTCCCTCTCAAAACGGAGAGGGAAGCCAACTCACAGCCCACGAAGCTATACACCCGAATACAGGGACTGGACTCCAAGCGTTTTCACTGAACGGATCCTCGGATGAATTGAGGGACGTTGGGGCCCATCTGGAGATGAGTTCAACTGACATTGGAGAGTCGGCCTCAATCTGGATTCAGTCAACGGTTCCCACCCGGAGACCCACATGAAGTTCTCGGAGAGCTTATCTCATATGCACATTCCTGAGCGAAAGAGAGGAGCACGGTTCTTGCCGTGGAATCGATTAAGGAATACTCTTCGTTGCGCGGAGTCCATCGCTCCACACATCAGTATTGCCTTTTTGGCGAAGTGATTCCGATTTTCCGAACAGCTACATTCTTCCTCATGAGAGAACATCCAAAGTTGGAGGTGCCTCTAAATCTCGAATGGATAAGTAATCAATAAATCTTATGACTGGATTATACATTTTTCCCCGCTACTGAATGACCCCGACCTTTATTTTGACGAGATCGTATGTACAATACAGACATGTGCATGGGAGAATCGAATCGACTCTCAATGACCATACGGGACAGAGCGGGGACGAGCGTCTGAGATCATCATCCAGGTGATGGGTTGCCTAAGGTTCATCGTCCTCGGAATCATGCGGCGTCGTCGGTTCCCGGATCTCAGGTCTGACGTTGTCGACAAACTGTCCCGCAAGATTCCCTCGAGGCTGGTAAAGAGCGACAACAATCACCTGGGTGGACGATTCGTTCAGATGTTGAGTGCGAGGAGCAGGACTCGGGGTCGAGAAGAATCTTTCGCCAGATATTCTGACATCCATACGCAATTGGTATTAGATCGTCTAGAGTACCTTGGCCTCGTTCTGGATCGATCGTGCCTTCCCAATTCCTAGATTCCGCGACGATCGCCAGACCATCTGGGTGAAATTATTCCCCTGCGTGTGTAGCACGTCCGGGTTCAGAGAGTGGTCGTACTTTCGAACTCCTCGATGATACCAATGTTTGGTGACTTCTTTGGCTGGAAGACTTCACGGTGAAATTATCCTTCCAATATTGGAGTATGAAGATCACTATCGATCAGAAGAGGAACTCACCGGTGACGTCCATCTGGGAGTCGACCAATAAGAGAGGCTGATACTTGACGTAGAGATTCTCACTGAAATCTTTCGAAGAGGATCTGGGTTGGTAGGAGATGCGATCGGTGTGCGCGATCTCATTCGCTAGCTTCTGAGCTTCGTGACAAAGATCGAACGACAACCGCAGAGGTTTGGCCTGATGCCGAGAGCGGAGAATGTTGTGCCAAACCAGACACTTCATGATGAAATCGTTATCGAGGTAAGCAGGGAGCTGTTCCTCTTTCGACGAGACTTTGACCGATTCCGAAAGGAACACCTGGAATAGTCCAAACTCGTGATTCAATCCCGAGGACTCGATCTTCTCTCATGCGATAATTGCCCTCGTCCTGAAATATTTGGAAACAAGGGGGAACCTCATAAGCTTTGCCCTCACGAGAACTCGTCGGCTGATTGAACCCAGCATGTGCGATCGATGTGTTTTCTGCAACTGGGCTGTACAGACATTCGACGAGGGATGAAGATGTTTCGTGGAGGAATGAGAAGATCGATGACTGCTCTCGAAGAGCAGTGACCTGATTCGATCGTACTGACAACAGTGCGGCTCTCTGAGCAGTCGAGAACAAGAAACATAAAGCGATTTCGAGCGTCGAAGGCTCACACGTTCCGATGAGAGCCTCATGCTCACTCACTGGCCAGCAGTGGCTCAGCGAAATCTGGCGTCGTCATTAGAAGAGGTTGAAAACCATAAATTTCGTTCACAATAAACAGTGCAATCGCGAAGTCTAAGCCGGTTTCAGTCTTCACCTCGAGATTTCCCGGCTTCGGCAAAGCTCCCCGGAGATCTCCACGGCAATCGAAACCCGGATTCCTCGATAAGACATCCCGAAGGAAGATGCCACAGGCGCGATGCGTTTGAAGGTCGCTCGCTCGTCAAATCTATTCATCGGAGGCCTTCCTGTTCAAAATATTGAAAACGCTCATCAAATTAACCTTCTTCATGAATCGCAGTGTGAGTCCCTGACATGTGGGTCGCTCTGGCTTCGGGTCCTCTCGGGTAGGTCTTAATCGCAATGATTTACTCTTCTTAGATTTCGATCGCTTCAGATCTTTGTCTTTCTTGAGCAGCGATGACTGCCGGAATTTATCCACGAGGGAATCGATCTGTTCCTTCGACTCGAAATCTGGAATGAAGATCGATTCCTTAGAGAAACTCCAGGTGGATAATGTAGAGTCATTCGGACGCCGGCATACGATTCGATTCCTACAATTATAGGGGGGGGGACCGTCAAGATCACAGTCCCGGACGCGGAGCAGACCAGCCTCTTCCATTGCGGATGTGATGGAAGTTCCTCCCACTCGACAGTACCGCGTGACGATGTGGATCCTTTACCTTGCTCACTGAGCTCCTTGTCACAGCGATACGAAGATGTGCTTGAAATACGCGAGAACATATCGAGCAGAACGCATGGAAGAGTCCTCTGTGTGGAACAGACCAAATGAACGGCTGCGATGTCTCTTTCCGAGAGAAGAGACAAGTGATTTCGTTGGGAAGTAGCGGACCGACGACCAAGTAGCCGCAAGTCTGGTGCAAGGGCTCTCTTAATTGCCGTCAGTCACATCGGATGAGCTCGAACAGAGGAAGCGCTGCGATGTCAGGACGAGTCTCTCTCATGGGAGAGCTCTGGCTGCTACGGATAATGGGTCAGACGGACCCATGGGTTCAGACATAGTTATAGTTGTTTTTATTCTGGTTCCGCGTTTCGAAATGTGTACACTGAGAGATCGAAAAACGAGCTGATGTAGTATCGCCTCACGATTTTGGGTCTTACATCGCCTGAATCGGTATAATATCTCTTCAGCGAGGCTTGAAGCCTCCGCGATCGCCGTCGAATGCTTATACGATATACCCTCTTCAGACTTATTCCGCATCGTCGCAACCGGGCATAATGATTACTTCTTTGTTTCGGATGAGGACTCCCCAGGAGGGGTTATGCATCGGAAACACGACTGTAGCGTGATGGATAAAGACGAGACAAAGCTTTCATCAGGCTGTGGTGATTGAGGTCTCTGTCAAGTGCGGTCAGAGCCTCACCTCTACACGCCGTGCGAGACGCGCCTGCTGAGCTTACGCACACTAGGAAAAGGAGTGTGTGATGCAGGTCTGGAGCTAACATTGCAAATATTGTGAAATCGCACCTCGCGATGATTCATCGAGCGACTCCGCCTTTACGTGGGCGTCACGTCGTTGTCAGCTTCATTCATATGGGGGTGGCGAGAATGATCTTTAGTTCACGGAAACTCTCAAGGGCAGCCAGTCCATGACGCCAGGTAGAGACTCACTGGGAGAACAATGTCGCTTCTCGGGAGAGTGGAGTATTTCGAAATCTTGCGGAATTTACACTGATCTCAACTCATCATGGGTGGGTTCTTTTGAAAGCTAGTGGTAGGAATATCCGGACTTGTGGATTGTGATAATGGAATCCAACCCGCTTGCTAGTGAACTCGCCACGCTGCTTATCGGAAAGGGACCTCGGCGTCGCTTGAAACCCCCCCCCCAAGGACAAGCGTCAGTCGCTTAGTTTCCGTGTTGCCAGCCTCTGCTGCTGACGAATGCCGTGTTGCAGATCTCGGCCATTTGAATCCTTCCAGATGGGATCCCCATCAACGGATCTCATTATGTAACTTAGAAATCCTGCGCAATCTCATTCAGTGGGCCGTGTAATTCCGGAGTCCGAAGCGTCGGTTCAATCATCTTGACTCACCTCTAAAATAACTGTAACGGCTCGAAGTGGCATTGTGTAGCAACATGCTCCACTATTCGCTGACCATCTTCGATTGGAAAAAGAATCCTCGAAACGGTTCCCTTCCCGGAACAATTCCTCGCTGTGATCCTCCACTTAGTGTCCAGAACTCTAGCACCGAGCACCCGAATGTAGTTCAAGCTCTCGATCAGCTGAGAGTTGTCAAACCATAATGGAAGAGAGAGAGAACAGCCTCGTTGTTCCGGAAAGGAGGATACCCTCCCACTGTGCGAGGCTCTGTAATTGAAGTCGAAACTACGCCGATAGGAGATCAGAGCGGTTTGTGGGGAGACCGTTCTGCTTGTGTGACCTGCTCCGGTCTCTAACGGACATAATCAACGGACTCGGGACACCTAATATGGCTTATCCGAGACGGCCGTCGGAAGAAATGCTCGAGGAAGCTGTCCAAAGGAGAGCTGAAGAAAAAATGACGCGAGAATGGAAACACCACTCCGTTTTCGAAACTTCAGAAAGCCTACAACGCGTCCTTGATGACCCAAGCTCTGACTTCACGCCCCGTGTGTAAGTTCCCATCGGATGGGCGCGGGCGTCTCCGCGTATGCCGCTCACGAGACAAGAGCGAATTTGCGGTCGAAGAACTGAGTAGGAGAGACCGCACGGATTTTCGAAAAGCATTGGATAAATTCGGTTTATTCTTTCGAAGCGGAGAGCAGTTCCCGAAGCAGCTACGTCTCGTCCTGGGTACGTTCTAGGTCCGCGGAGCTCAGCTTCCTTGTCCTCTCTGCGGGACCCAGCCGATTACCAAGTTGGATCTACTCATAGGATTGAACTGATCTCGAAGCACCTCTCTGCCGTCGAAAACTCATTTCATTCCGAACTTTTAACAGTGAATTTGAAGCCGACGTCCTCGAGTCGACGTCGCAGCGTAGTTTTCTCGAAGGCGAAGCCCGGAGGTATGCAGCCTCCGCTGAAATGGAGAAGATCGACTCAATCTATGACGAGAGTGGGACAATTGGCGGAAACCTTTTTCGAGATAGCATGGACTCAAACTGCATCCGACGTAGACTGATTCGAGGAAATGGAAAATAAACAGAAGCGCCTTCTCTGTCGACATCGGTTGCGCTGAGCCATCTATGCCTACTGCACAACCCCAAATCTTCCGCAATGCATCCAGACGACGGATGATATAACGAGGCTTCTGATCACTCACCTGGAAGGCATCACCGTGCTCTCCTTCAGGATGCACACGGCGCTAGTTACGAGCATCCTTCCGGTTCCAATATATCCAGGATCGGGACCGTCGATGGCGCAAACTATTTTCCTTGTCGGAGGTTTGCTCTCATCGTCGTCAGCGTGCCAGCCCTTGCCTAGAGCGTAAGTTCTGAACGTGCGATCTTCGAGTTGGTCGCGAGTTGCTCCACCCTCCCGGAAAAAGCCGAAAGAAAACACATGCGGATACTTCGAGAGGAGGCTTCTTCCGCGCGAGAACTGAGTCATAATCAAAAACAGTGCCGCTCCAAGACTGAGCAGAAACACGGATAGGAGACTCGGCATCTGGAAGTAGGTCTGAACTTGGACTGCTTTGTAGTTCGGGTCTACTTGTACGCGGAATCGCTCAGAGGTCAACGCTACTGGACGGTCGCTGCCGGGGAAAGGTAGGCTGTAGCCCTTAGCTACTGCGGTGGTAGATACTAGGCCGCTGCAAAGACAAAGCATAACCTCTCAGTCGATTAGAGAAAGAATCCGGTGCATAGGACATTGTTGGAGACTTCTGATTTCAGAGGAGCCCCTCGATACTGACCGGCTATCGAGCTTGAATTTCGGTTTCTCTGGCTTCGTTGGGAAGAGAACTTCGGCCGTTTTCTTGCGCAGGGCCGGGAGTTCCCCTCGATTAGCTACTCCCTGAATTAGACTGTTCCACGTGCCTGTATTGGTTGCACCTCCCTTCGGGCTCCGGAATGTCAGGAACGTTTCGATGGAATTTAGTCTACCTCGGAAGTTTTCCTTTGTGAAACTGATCAATGTGTCGCACGGGATGGAATCGAAGCCGCAGGCGGAGACGATGTAGACATCTACAACAAGGATTTTTCCTTCTAGACCACAACAAAAATGAATTTTCCCCAGGCCTGAGTGATAATTCCAAGAATGATACTAGTAGTAGAGCAATTCATCATCGAGATCGTTTTTCTCATGTCTCGCGGCAAGACTGAGCTGATGATATATTCACTTTTGGCTTTGGCTAGCTCGTGATATTTCAGCTGCATGGATTCGATGAAAGCAGGTTCGCCGCTGACATCAACGTGATTCGTGCCTTCTTCGACACAAGCCGAGACTACGGCTTCCCCGTAGAAGCGGTACGGACCGACGGTGTTCACGACGATACGGCACTGTCTAGCCATTTTCCTTAGGGACTCTTGATCGGATGTGTTCGCGATGACTTTCGGCACTTCCGCGGAGAAACCCTTGGGGTCCTTTCCCAACCATTTTGCCACTTCCTGGAAGGAATTCGGAGAACCGTATAATTGCGGAATTCACATCGGAAGAATCAGAAGAGTCAGTTTATGATGCAGTCAGAGCTGCATCATCATCGCGACCCTCAAGTCCGACTTGCGATAATTTCCGAATCATGTTATCGAGTCGATACTCTCTTCGAGTAGCATGAAGCAGACTTGGTTCAGTGTTGCCGGTCGCCAATCATTCAGAATGGGACTAATCAACACTAATTTGCTTCCGTCTATCGACGGTTGACAATAATTAGACTAAGAATTAAAAGGAAATGACGGATACCTCGAGAGCTTCGTTGAGACGACCCTCGTTCCGTCCAGCCACAGCGAACGACAACTTCTCTTGCTGACACGCCTTATACAGGGCCTCGAGCGTGTAGCGACCTGGGAGCATGTAAATTGGTGCTCGATTAGTTTTCATAATTCAAGTCTGCAGATCTCGTTACGATTGAGCCTCACGAGAGAAGAAATTAGCAGAATCCAGGTCGTATCAGTCTTGGATCGTGGCTCGTGGTCCACACGGATTCGCGATCGAGGGAGCCATTGGGGAGCGTCCCTTGTAAGATTGATGAATGAAGTTCCTGATAATCGTTCGATATCTTGTATCTGAATCGATCTGGTCTCGAGGCAGTCGGGTCGATTTCCAAGGAAAATAGATGTCAGCCCCGGGATCATGAATCGTGAGAATCTACCGCGGTGCAGGAGAAAGCCCATTCCGATCCAGGACGGTTTCAATTCTGGGACTTTGCTCCCGCGAACTTCTTTGCCGTAATGCTCAGTCATCGCGGACGATCGACAGCGCCATGGACCGCAACACGAATGCTCTAGAGATTGCAGATTATTGGTCCAAATATACCGTCTTAGAATGTGCCGCGGAATCAAAGTCACGTCAGGGAAAATGTCGGGCGTTTTATTCCCCACGTTTTCCGGTTCGAGTAATTTCTTGAACCCCTAATCCTTGCAATTCTAGGACCATGCCGCTTTTCCATACCGAGAATCGAACGGAATCTAGTCTCCAATCAGAACCGAATCAAACTTTCAGTCTCGAGTCTACAATGCCTCGCTTTCGATTTCGCGTGCTCTCATCGATGATTTGGCACTCAGAGTCTGGAGCGGTCTCAATATTTGACCGAGTATCGCACGTTCCCGAGGGCCGGCTGTCAGAAGTTCCAGTCCCTCATACCCTCCTCCAACATCGCTCGATCGAATTCCATCCAATCAGAAAGAATCACGATTGAGGACTGTCCGCGTCGGGAGAATGACTTTCTCTGACGCTAGTCGAGCAACTTCCTCCTCCTGGTCTAGGTGAGAGCCGCGATTGACTAGATGACAACTCAACTCCTAGGGGAGCCGCCTGCGCTTGGAAAGCCGTTAAGGTCGGAATCCTCGGAACAGGGTTCTCCGAATCTTCTGCGGCAGTAGTTTGCTGTCGGAAAGGGCATGCAAGACTCCGACACTTCACGCATTTATCCTCAATTTAGAACGAGACACCTTCCTGCAGCCGGCTGAGGCAATAGCAAGAGCCAGAACTATCATGAGGCTGGAAAGTCTCTGTTCAACGAACGCGGGCTGAGTAATATCTGTGATAAGATTCTGTGGAATAAAACTGCGAATATCTGGATGTTCTGCTCGTCTGGGAGAGGAGACGGATTCCTGATCACCAGCCCGGGAACGACCACTTCTTCGATGGGGTCGTCCCGAAAGTCTTAGGTTGCCGATGCCTTGATTCCTCATCTGCCTCCACGGAATCCTCAATCATGATCGAATCTTCTCAGAGTCAAACTCACCGGTGACACCCGTCGCACCGAATAGTATTATGTCGAACCCGCGCGACATGTTCGTGACTGAACTACGGATCTATAGTTTGCCGTGAAGGGTGGCGCACGCACGGAACCGAGGGCAAATATATTCGGTGTCGTCTTCAATGACGTCGTCGCCAACAATCGCTGAGGAGCTCTTTCTCAAAAAATATCATAGTGGAAAGAGAATCGGTAGCGTGAGCCGCGCGCTGGAATTCCGACCGGAATCATGACCCTCCTGCGCAGGCTCCGTAATCACTGGGGGAGACTTTCCCTTCCTGAGGGATTCAAGGCTGTTGTTGCTCAGCCTATTTCATTTTTTTCCCAAAAGATCGCCCCTCCTCCGACGCGGCCTACACTTCGGTCATCGAGCCCGGAGAACGACGACTGGCGCTGTTTACCAGGGGCGCTGCGGTCGCTTGAATCAGCTGATCGAGGATAATATGTTGTCAGTTTGAATGCCTCCTCCGAATAATTCTACTCCCGAATCCCGAGTCTCCACCAAAGTAGCGGCACTGGAACCAACGAGCGAGGGTGATAAGATTCTCAGAGTAGAGAACCATGGAGAACTCGCTTATAAAGTCCATGGAGGAAGCGTGAGTGTGCGACAGATGATGTTCTCACCGTAGATCGATATCGTTTTCCCCTGCCCGTATGATTGACCTATCGGTAACCATTGCAGATCGAGGCAGGACGGCGTGGTGGCCGTGGTTTGCGCCGATAACGATGGGTTTCCTGTACAAGGTGAGCCAGCAGTGAGACAACAGTCATTGAACTGCGCGTGACATATCCTTATGACCACTCTATGACCACTCTCCCGGGACCCTTAACGAATTCTCTGCGATGGAATTACATCATTTTCCCCTCCCAGTGAGAGGAAAAGTTCCTTCCCAAGCTGCCGGAGTCATAACACAGATGTGCGAACTGGCGAAACAGCTCGATATGCGAAGCACACCGACGATTCAATTGGAAACAGAAAAACTGTGAGTGACTATGAAGATCTTGATTCGATACCCTCTAGGAAATCTTCTTCTTCGCAGGGTGTGACAACCACCCCTTGCGATTTCATCTCTGCGTGTTCCGGGTATGAGAACTCACCTCAAGACTCTGCAAGCTCGGCCTCCATTCCTGTATTTCTTTATCCAAACTTCAGTTTCTCCGCCTTACAGGAACGTATTCATCCAGAAGAAAGATATGGCCACCGTCGCTGTTTACAAACAGAAAGAATGAGAGTAGCTCCCGAGGGGGGACTATGTGATCTGTGTAATAAAGCCGTTATTTTTCCTTGCCGGAGTTTTCAATGCAGACCGCATTCCATCTACATCCATTCCCTGCGAAGGATTTGCGGTAGGACCGCAATTCACAGGAGCTTGAGATCCTCCCAATACTCTGCGATGCAGAAGTGTTCCCTTCAAACAACGAAATGGTCGCGCCGGACTCCTCAAAGACGCTCGACGCCTCTCACGCCGCCGTCTCACTCCATACCGAAACACATCCCCACAACGCTGACGGCCGGAAGGTGTCGGCCCAGTCAGTCGCGAAACCTCGGACGGGTAAGGCCAAGACATCTCGACATCAGAAGTCAACGATGGACGCTTCCGCTGAAGCTGCAAAACCTACCGGAAATCAGATCATCGCCGCTTCCATTGTTCTGACGATAATTCTATTCATCATGGGAGTCCTACTCCGAGTCATCGTATTGAACCTGAGAAAAGAAGACTAGATGACAGAACAATGATTTCTCAATAAGACTCGCGCGACCTCGACGAGGGGTTCTCGATTCGATAAGAGCAAACCTCAGCCGTCGAAGCGATGCGGGTGCTCGATCATATTTCGAGATGACACCGTTGGATTCAGGGCGTTCTCTTCGGAAAATCACTCGGGGTATCCGACCCGGAGGGCTGTATTGGCGGTGCGCTTGGTCGAAATCGTACGACCAATGTCGCGTAGGAAAGCTAGGAGCTCTCTATCGTTCAACTGAAAAACAGCGAGGAGCGAGATGTTCTTAGATCCTACCATGACATGGAGCATATCGTCGATCCTGCATATTTAGTTTTTGGGAATCCCCGGTGACTGGAAACCAGAAGAACGAAAAATGATTTTCGAAGAACCTGAATTCGATGAGATTTTCTTTTCAATGGCGTCGGATTCGACCGTGAATCCGAGATCGCCCTTTTTCGGAGGCTCCATTTGACTAGGGCGAGCTCGATCGCAAAAGATCGATTTGCAAAACACAGTCGCCCTTGCGGATTCTCTGAGGGAGGTTCCGTCAGAGGTACGCCGAGAGGCCATGAGATATCCGCCATGAGTCAAACGGTGCCTTGGAGATCTCTGATGGTTTTTATTCTATCCGTCCTCTATTCTCTCTCTATTGAATTGAATATCGGAATCGAGTTCCCTACTTATATATCGGACACCGTACACGGCAGTTCGACGGTACCAGTGATTCCCGCCTCATATCCTAGAGTCCTAGACGACCGCCGCGAGGAAAGATTTGACCCTAACGAAGGAGGAGGGTCGTTCCCGTGAATAAAATGCCACAGCGGAATAATCGCCGATAATTTCGGTTCTCAATTTGAGGGACAAGATCCGACCGTGGCTCCGGGGACATGAATTCACACTCGAGACATGCAAGACGAAGACGAGTTCGTTGGTCAGGTGATGACTAACACTCGAGGAAGAGCACCTGAGCCGATTCCTATAAATTGAACCTCAACCCCGACAATCGCGATTCGGAAGCATTCATCGAGCGATAACGACGAAAAATCACCTGATGGAAGTAGAAAGCAAGGACGCCCTCTCTGGCGATGCCCCCGCCGAGACGAAAGTATGTGAGGAGAAAAGTCCGGAGCCTGCCGATGGAGATCAACCAGAACAGAAGATTTCAGCGGAACCTGCGACCGAGGCCGGATCATCCGACCTCGAGGATGACCCAATGGAAAGAATCTTCGCGGTTCTGAACGATATGATTTTCACGTTCTCTGTAATATTGATCGGATGTCAACTCAGTCGTTGGTACTGGACCAATTAAGGCACCATCCGGGACAATAAACAATCTGGGTGAGTCGAACCGACGATTCGCTCGACTCCCGCTGAATGTGAAAATACAGGAGTGATGATGTCTCTGGACTCTTGAGAGCGAAAGTGGATTGCGCAGGGTCAGCCGGTACATATGACTTGACGAGGATGTCGAGCATAACTTGAACGCAGACACGAACTTTCGCGCAGGAAAATTTCCCCGAACATGGTCTGAAGTCTGTTCCCGGCCTCAGATCCGTACAAAATTCTTGAGGCTCCTCGCGGATCATAGAGTAAGGGTTGTCCCTACCCTATGATTCTTGACGTGAGTTCTCCAGCCGCCGAGCCTGCTTCAAGAATCGTCTCTTGCACAAGGCCGTACACAAATAACTCCCCTGTCGTTCGCGGCTTCGAGAACCCTTTCTATGACTCCGGCTTGTGAATTGTCCTCTTGGATGTTCGTGCTGGAAGCGCTCCGCAGTGAGATTGGAACCGGAGGGGTAGGGCTGCATGAGCAAACGGCTTCGTCACTTTATGTGCTGCTTCGTAGTCCGGATGTAGTCGTGGAACCCCGAATGGTTACATTTGCCGATCTCTCGACTTACCATATAAGCAAATACGACCGCGGATGACAGGCGATTCTTTGGTTTCTCAATTTCACTGTGCACGCTTGCATGAGAAGTGTCGAAGACGCAGACCAATTGACCCCCTAAAGCTACAGGGCTTCTCAGAGGCCATAGTGAGTGGCTTTCCGTTTGCTTGATCAGACCCAATCGCCAGGCGCGTGCCCAGGGATTATTTTCGAGGGGGGGGCATTGTCTTTGAGGGGGCGAACTACCGATGTCGATGAGCCTCAACGGTGAACTCCAAGGGAGCCCTGCCCCCCCCCCCTCCCTGGGCGCGCCACTACCAATCATTGCGTTCTGGGGCATCCCTGTGTGGTCATTGCGATGGCAGTCCGAGGTTCCGCGGTACTAAAAGAACGAATACAGGAATATATAGCACGAAAGCTCGCACAAAGAATCCGCGGAGCGAGAAATAACGGGAGCCCCTGATCTTGAGACCATAAAATCGTAAGCCCTCTTCGGTGGAGCCTGAAACGCGATCATCAGAGCGGCGCTAACCTCCGTACTGAGGATGTACACAATGTATAGATTTTCAGTCCCCGAACCTATTCCGTGGAATCTCCTTCAATCATTCGCAACTCTCTGCTCAGCCTAAAGAGGTCTGCAGACATGAAGTGATTCATCTTCAGCCTGTGGAGGCGGCGAGAAATGAGCTTTTGAATCTACAGCATGGCTCACACCGTACAGGGGGCGATTTGACTCTTTGAGCTTGCTCGAACGTCCGGAAATTCGCCTCTGATTACTTCATCCGAACCCCGAGAAGGGACGAACGGAGACTGAGACGACGTGTGAAGACTCAAAAGCCCTTGGGTTGTGATTTTTCGCAGATGCACGTTCATTGCAGAAACGAGGGCTGGACTCAACATCGCTATAAATCGAGTGGGAGACCCTCAGAAATCCTCCCGACGGGAGAGAGGGAGACCGATTCAGGTCCCGATTGTTTGCGAAACCTGCAGAACCAAGCACAGACCTTTCGGGGATCACTCTCGGTTGAGTTCTGCCTGCTGTGACTTACTCCCTGGTGCAAACATGAATCTCTCGGCAACAATGATCCTGGTTTCCGTCTTCATCTGTTGTACATTGGCAGAAGTGCCAAGAATGGATCTCAAGGTGCTGGCATTGAACACCGATCACATCTCTAGATGTAAGTTGAGAGAATTTATAGGCTAAGGGGTACCAGAGAGAATATTTCACGACCATCTTCAGGAAAACATATTGAACTCCTTGACGCGATTGGAGTCCGAATGTTCATTATGAGAGCTGTGCATTCGTGCTTTTTGCCTCCCTCACGGGCATTAACGAAAACGAGGGGATGACGCCGTAAGCCTCGTCCATGAGAGGGGTTATTTTCATGCATATATTGCTGTTTATTTCGCTCTCTCCCGTGCATAAAACGCTCAGCCTCATTAATTACAGATCTGGCTTTCACGATTGGAATAGTGGCATACGTCGGGAAACTCATGTCGTTATTCGAGAGCAGCTCACCTGACGACGGGGGCTCATCGCACCACATAGTAGAGGTGGAGGATCCCGACGCAGGAGAATATTCTAGGAAACATCCTAGTCAGAGATCAGAAGCAGATATATCAAGGTTCGTACTCCGTACCCCCAACACATTGAGAGGTGTTCCCGGGACCCCCCATTGTGGCGCAGACCTCTGATCGACACGCAGCCATTGCTTTATCGCTGTGGAGCAGGGATCCGCAACCTTTCCTGCTCCGCGACCCCTTCGGTCGACCACTTTGCCTCGCGACCCCCTAAGAGGAGCACCTACCTAAAAATTGAGATCGACTTTCTCTCTCACAACATCTTTCGATTATATTATGGTGCTACTCCGCACAATACTTATTCCTTCAATTTCAATGTGAGATTTGCTGCGGCTTGTCACAAACAAGCGACTTGAGATCAGGCTGAACATCCGTAACCGCGAGACAAAGAGCGGCGTGAACATCCAATCTACTACGTAGCTTCGTCTTTATGATCGACGACAACTCGTAGGAAACCTCGGAGCGAAGGCTGGAAAGAACAATAGGTAGGGCTCCCGGGACCCCCCGGTTGCGGATCCCTGCTCTAGAGTCTCTCTGGAGCAACGAGTGTTAATTGGGCCCTCCGCTCTATATCTCTTACAGAATACTCGACGTCATTTCTGAGTACGGGCAGAGATCGGAACAGGGGCCCTTCACTAACAGGAGGAACCGCAGATCCCTTCGACGTAGGCTTTGGTCGAAAGGCAGAGAATAACTCATGTATTCCGATCTCATGAAATAAAGATCTCCGATCGACTTCCTTCCTACCGACGCCTTTTGATATCATTGAGTATAGGTGGTCAGGAAAAGGGCCGGAGCTCGAGATACAGATCCCGACATGCGAAAGTCAACGTTCGTCCAATTTCGGCATCTCTCGACGACACGATCTATATCTATAGTGAGACAGACGACGTTATGCTTCTCTCATCCGATGATTCGTCAAAACTTCGAATTATCGTGGGTTACAATTTTCATACAGCTCCTAAAGATGAAGTCAGGGCTCGACAGTTCGACACCATCCTGGTATGGTAGGCTTGTTTCAAGGTTGACGGTTCGCGCAAACGAGGTCTCCCGCTGTCCTGCGCCGGAACTCGTGTCTCCGGATCACGCTTG